GTCCATCATATGCGCATATTTTGTTTTCCAGCTCACTGAACTAATGAATGCAATCCAATACAAAGACGTCGCGACGCTGGCCGCCAACTTTGGTAGCCACGGCCTGACCCAAGCGCAATATATACATACATATATATATGTATATATATACAATTTGGGCAAACAGATGAGCCTGCCCTGTGGCAGGGCCTGGCTCCATTTGGAGCCGGTATTCCTGTGCTACTCACCGGTGTCACTGCTGGTGGCTATCACCGACCCGACGACTGTGTTGCGCGGCACATCCTCCTTGACGTAGTAGTTGTAGCGCGCCTTCTCGAAGATCGGCGGCCGTTGCATGGCATCGATGATGCTGAGGAAGACGACGGCATCGGTGCTGGTGCGCAGGCCGCCGCCGTCCGTGGCTGAGATGTTGAGTATGTGCATCGCCTGGGTGCGCACGGACAGCATGTCCGGCCGTACGACAAAGATCTCGCCGCTGTTGCGATCGATGCGAAAGATGCCGCCCTCGTTACCGGCGACAATGCGATACGACACCTGGCCAAAGCTGCCCGCATCCGGATCCGTGGCCACCACGGCCACAATGGGCATGGACGTGCCGCTGCCCTGTGCCGGTCCAGACTCGCGCAGCGAGACATTGTACTCCCGCGGATAGAACACCGGCCGATTGTCGTTCACGTCTGTTAGCTGGAGCTTGATCATGGCCGTGGTGCTCAGTCCGCCCCTGTCCGTGGCCAGCACCGGAAACTCGTAGCTGTTGCGCCGCTCATAGTCCAGTTCGCCGGCGATGCAAATCTCGCCCGAGGCCGAGCGCACCTCGAACTCCGTGAGATGCTTGAACCCCTCGCCGAGCGTGTAGTTGACCATGGCATTCACGCCGCAATCCGGATCGCTGGCCGACACCTGAGGGCGAAAAAAAGAAAGAAAGAGAGAGAGACAAGTCAATATAATAATGATTATTACGGTGGTTGCGGTGGTTGCACTGTCGCTGCCGGTTAAACGGTTGCTCTGCCAATTACAAATGAAGTTGTCAAAATTTTAATTTGATTTAAAGGCAACGGCTTAAGCCCCGCGCAGCTTAACTTAATTTGCAACAGTCAGTGGGGCAATTTGTTCTGGTCATGCTTTGTATAGAGTCTCGAGAGCAGCCCCAGGCAGTCGCGTATTAAGCGTATGTCAACTTAAATTTCGGTTTTTCTCTTATTTTTTTTTGGAGTTGCTGCTGCTGTTGCTGTTGCTGTACAGGAGCATTGACCTGGCTTTAATGGCTGCCAATTAGTTGGCATTTGCGTAATCAACATTTACATTTAACGGGCTGCACGCTGCTGGCCTACGCCACCCTAAAAATAGCCCAGCATCAGAGCACCAGCTAGAAGGCGGGCCAGTGGCCTGACGGGGGCACTCAGAGAGTCAGCTATGGCATTTTGCCAGACGCCAACGAACAACGAGCACAAAAAATCTGCAATTAAAACTGTCATTATTTCACTTTAAATAGTGGAATACCCCCGTTCCGCACACGCCGCCTCCTGCTCAGGCGAAAGAGACGACAAGAAGACGGGAGCTAACAGTCCGCCTCCCTCAGTCTCTGCCTCCGCCCTAGTCTCAGTCTGCTTCTGTTTCTGTTTCTGTCCCCATCCATCCGTGTCTCTGTCCCTGTCTCTGTCTCAGACTCCCAGACTGATATGCATTTAAAGCGAAACGTGTCCACGTCGCGGCGACTCCTCACGTTCAATTTCTGCGCTAATTACACTTTTTGTAAGCCAAAGGCATCGAACTGTTGGGTCGCAACGGTCCGCCTGGCGAAGATCTGCTTAGATTGCTGCTCCGCTGCTCTGCTGCTCTCCTGCTCTGCTGAGCTGCTGTGCTGACTAAAGACTTTCATTAAGCTTAGTTGGCAGCCGTTTAAACCCGTTTAACCCGGGCGAAATTGTCGCCGAGCAACGAAGACGACGTCGACGACGATGTCGTCAGAGCCAACAGATTGGCAATTTTATCTGTCAACAACATGGAACTGCTGTTGAGAAACACGGCCCAAAGACAGATCCCGATGGCTGCCCTCGCGCAGCTGCTAAAGACGCCCACACGAAATAGCTGCTGGGATGAGCAGCCAACGCCTGGACCTGGCCCTGGCCCTGACTCTGACTCAGGCCCTGACCAAGTGGGCTCGCTGATAACCCGCCAGCAACAGCAGCAGCAACAGCAGCTGCAGTGAAAGGTAAATCAAAACGGAGCATTCGCCAAATCTAATTGCCAGAAATAAGTACGAAAACAATGAGACAAAATGTAGAGAGGAGAACAAGAACAGCTAACATTGGGAAAGGAACGAATTGAATTGACCAGACCAGCCGGAGGTAGATATTTAAGAGTCAACCTCACAGCGAATTGTTCCTCGGGGGCCCATATGACAACATCACTTCGGGCTTATACTTAAATTGTGAAAAAGTCAACATTCCGTTCGATAAGATATATACTTAATGGCCTTCGAAAATGTCATACTCAATGCGTTAAAGATTTCGTCACTCAAATGCTTCAGTACACGCGTTAAGTTCTGATAAAAATCGAGTTCGTTGCTCAAGTCATTCGTTTTGCCTGCGCGCGCAGATACTACAGAAAGGCCTGTTTGTTGTCGTCAAAAGTTTTCAAGAGTTATTCATCTTTGTCAGCACGCACTTCCTCACACACACCCAGCCGAAACACTCGTGCGGGATGTGTGTGTGCGTGTGTGTGAGTGTGTGCAACAGCATTCAATAACCAATTATGGGCTAACAAGGCCTCAGTTTCTTGACTTGAGCTCGAGATTCAGCACCAACTTCAACTCCAACTCCAGCTCCAAGTTCAGCTTGAACTTCAGCTGCGGCTGGCTACTGCGACCGCTGTTGATGTATGCAAATAAGCTGTCAAAAGTAATTTCATTCAATTACCTTATTTATCGTACGAAACAACCAAAACGAAGGAGAAATTCTGTCATGGCCAAAACCAAACAGCTCGGCCAGCACGAAGCTCGGCCAACAACAAAGTGGTCGGTCGAGCTGCCAGTTGATTGCCCCGCTTCTTGGCTAACTGGCGTGTGAGGCTCGAGGTGCTGAGAAACTATCCGAGCAGCGCTCCCCATGCAGCCAGCCAGCCAGCCAGTCAGCCACATCCTGGGCCATCGGATCGTGGTTTGGCTTGATTAACACCTCGGCCAGCTAGCCAGCGGAGCAGCAGAGCATCAGCCACTGCCTGAGGGGGGCGGGGGGAGCAGAAATATTGCATTTGGGGCTAATAGAAGGTGGCCAAATGTCGGTCGTGTCTCTGCCGCGGATTATCAAGCAGCCAGCGCTTTTGATAAGAGTCGGACATGTCTTGAGGCCCGTGGCTTACTGTAGTTGGCTGCAACGCCTTGCTCACCCTTCCCTGCCCAGCTTCTCCCGCTCCCTGTGCGTCTAATGCAGCATGTGGCAGTTGCTGTTGCTGTTGTTGTTGTTGCAGCATAGGCCAGGCAGCAACGCAGCCTTGCATATTTTTATGCAATTTCCGGCAGATGTGGATGATTTACCTGCCCCATGAGTGTGCCGCAGCGCGTCTGATGAGAAATGACTACGTGCCACAGAGAGCAGCATCAAATGCGAGGCGTGTAGCAGCGCCACACAGTGCAGAGCTGGCCAAGGGGACGGACTGAAGAGTTTAGAGTGCAGCCTGCTGATTGCCAAATACGTTGAGCTCATGCGAATTCATTTGAACAACATTTATTCTGAATGGGAGCCGTGTCTGCTGGTCAAGACAGC